ATATATTTTGTTTCTTACCAGTATACTCCTGAAATCCGTTATTCTCATACATATAGCATAGATAAAATATCTATATCTATATAATACCTATATTATTATTTCGTGATTTTCAAAAATTACAAATAAATATTTTAATTTATAATTCGACAGTAATTTCGACAGTAAGTAGTTCTTCAAAGAATTCAATACATTCGATACAAAATTATTAATCATTCATTTTTAAGAAAATTCTGTAATATATTGAATAACTACGTAAACACTAGAGAATTTAATAAGTAAAAATATAATATAAAAATAATAATAAATAAAATAAATAAATGAATGGAAAAACATATATCTTAGAATGTTCTTTAACGTATTAATATTTTAAATTAAAATAAAACGTTTCTTCAAGTCAGTTTTTGTAAACTGATGATTTTTGTTTAAATTACGGAATCCTAAAAGTCAATATTCCCGATTCGATTTTAAATCATTCAGTCACTTTGAATTAGTCTTTACAAATTATAAGAAATATCAAAAAATAAGAAAGTCACAAAGTTATTAAAGAAACATACCTACAATTTCGAGGCTTAACGCCTCGAAAGAATAAGAAAAACAAGAAATATAGTATAATAATACCGTATGAATAATACCGTATTGTTGAGATACAGATAATCCATTAAAATAAAATATCTTGTGAATTATTAATTTTTTGGTAATTTTATATTTATTAAGATTTCATATATAAAGTTATTTATTTTTCATAAAAATGTAATTTAATTATTAAAAAAAATCGTATACAATTTTGTAAAGGAAATATTGATGTCAATATTTTAAAAAATTTTATAAAAATATTTAAAAAATTATGCTATAAAATAAGTTAATATCATATCTACCTTCGAAAATAATAGATATTTAATTGAAAAACGATTCTATTAAAAAATGATTTTATATTATCTCGTCTACGCGTGATACAGATTACTAAAGCCATCTATTGGAAAAATAATGGATTTCTTTTTACTATACCTAATACATTTTTTTTAGTTTCGTCATTTCTTTTTTTTTCACCTCATTTATGTAAAATGCACGTACAAGTGCATATAAGCAATACTCAATCAGCATATACATCCACAAATTTAATAATTTAATATATGTGTGCTGTATGTTAATGTACGTATGTACATGTGCATATATGTGTATTATAATTTTATATGTTTATATATGTACATATATCTACACAACATAGATCAATCTGACAATATTGCAGCAATATTGTAAACATTGCAACAATGTTGCTGCAAATTCTATGCTGTATAGGAAGCAATACTCGATATATATCTCGTACACAATATATCTCGTGTCCCATAACTCTTAATTATAATAATATTTCTGGAAATGAAAAATGAAATTTTGATCTAAAAGTTCCCAATTTTGGCTCAAATCATTATTTACAATTAAAATTGATCAATCAGATTGCACCCAGCCGGAATACGAGCACATTATATCAAAGGGTTCCTCGCTCTTACTGTACATTCTTCCGATTACAATTTTATTATAATTTTTTATATTGACTAATCTGATCGATCAACTTTAATCATTAATAACTCGGTAAATAATGATCTAACCCAAAATTGGGAAAGGAACTTTTAGTTAAAATTTCATTCTCTCTTTCACTACCAGAAATATTAATTAAGAATTGTGGGACATCCTGTATATCCATATATGGTCACGAAATTAATCGGTCGAATAATTTGAAGAAATCATCGATATAGCTGATAAAAATGTAAATTTAAATGTAAATTGAGAAAACAATTTTTATTAACTAAACTTTAAAGTCAAATGTATTAAAATATTAAAAAATTTCTATATATATACATTCATATATATGTATAAGCAATACTCAATATATTTATTTATACACAGTGCGACAAATATGTTCCCGGATATGTTCACGAATCACATCTCAACCAGTGGCGACATCTGTGCATTCAAATATGCATTTTAAAGGTTGAACATTTTGCTATCATCTGTCAAAGTTTCAGGGTGTTCGAACCAAAAAAATTGGCCGTCCTGATTTTTTGTCATCTTCAAAGGTCTCTCTGCCTTCCAAAAAACGCTTATGCCACTCAAAAACAGTACGACCTAGACATTGACTGCCGTAAACTTGTTGCATCGATCGGAATGTTTCTGATGCACTTTTACCAAGTTTTGCGTTAAATTTAATCACTGCTCTTTGTTCCATATTAAAATTTCTATCTCGACCAAAATCTTGTTTAACATGAACTGTCATATCTTCGTTATATGTCAAAATGAATGAAACTTTGACAGATGATAGCAAAATGTTCAACCTTTAAAATGCATGTTTGAACGCACAGATATCGCCACTGGTTGCTGAGATGTGGTTCGTGTCCGGGAATATATTTGTCGCACTGTGTGTGTGTGTGTGTGTATATATATACTATAAAAAAAATATACATATCTGTATATATTTACAGATTTAATAATCAATACATACCAATAGTGGTGAATTATATCATCATTAAGACTTCTACTTGTAGAAGTATTCTTCCTACTTGTTGACAATTCCTTCTCTAAAAGTAGCCCAAACATATTTTTTCAATGTCTTCTTAGTTGTTAATTTGTAATTTAATTTGTATTTTATAATCCAGATATGTAATTTTATCTTATTTTACAGATGTAAAGAAAAATTGTTTTAAAGAATATATATGTTTGCACATAAAAATGAAATCATTACATATATAATTATACTAAATTGATGCACTAAATAATTTTTTTTAATAAGTATATAAATACCCAATTGCTCATCTTGTGAGAAAGTGATTTTCCGTATTTCTTCAGATTTTTCTATTTCAATACGTTTGAATATTGGACATGCACCTTCATCTATAATTAACCATTTTTTAAATTTATTGTATAAATTACACAAAAGTCTTCATTGACAAAATTGGAATTCTTCATTATGTTGAAATTGCAACTCTTCATTATTATGAAAATATTTAATTTGATCATAATATTAATAAATTTAAGCATAATATTAATAACAAATTTTTGCATGATAAAAATATTAATTATAAATATCACAAAGCTGACATGCTTTACCTTGTCTTCGCGGAAGAATTATATTATTTGGATCTTTAATATCACATTCGATGTTATTTGATGTCTGATAATTTGTTGAAAGACAATTGTCTGCTTTAATAGTTATCTTCAGATTTTTCATATTAGTTATATTTTCTGGGTTAAATATCACTGATGTTTTCCATCTAAGATTATTTCCAAAATAATATGTCAATTTTAAGACATTCTTTTTACATTAAAAGTCAAAATAAAATAAGTTTAAGAAGAACATTAAAGTTATGTTCAAATCGCGCGCAATTATTTATAAACCTTACAAAATCATGCTCAATTTGGTGCCTCACCCCTACCATTGTGGATCACTAGAACTCATTCGTTTTTACCTACTTAAAATGGTTCAAAAGTCTCTAAAAATTCACAAATATATATTCAACTTTCTAAAATAAATGTTTAAACTTCATTTTGGAAAATAAAATGTAATATAAGTTATAATTACTGAACACTTAAAAGTTGAAAAAAGTAAGTTGGAATCGCTCGGTCATTATAATAGACCCACAATAGTAAGATAAGGGATAATACTACATTTTATATTATACTTCTGATGCTATTCCTTATTATTTGCAAATTACAAAATTGTTACTTTTTTGCAAACTGTTCAAATATATTCCATATAGTTCAATTATTGTTTAATTCAAAATTTTTATATATTCTATTATTACTCTTTAGAATGCTCATAGTTAGGGGAACTAGTTCCTCTTCGTTGTGGATTATTGCTCTTGCTTTGCTGTAAAGACTCTTGCTTATCAGAGTTTTTCATTAATGCAGCTTGTTTTCTTCTTTCTTCATACTCATTAATCTTTCTTAACCTTAATTTTTCATATTTTATCAAACGCTCTTGATCACGCTGCCATTTCTCTCTTTTCAACCTTAAGCTCTTTAGCTGTTCTAATGTGAATCGCCACTTTTTGCGAGAATCCATTGTTATTGCTATAAACATACATTCATAGAATAATAATACGATTTTATAAAAAGTTAAACAGAATTTATTAATGATTCAATAAACACTGATTAACACAATATTATAATTTTCTACTCAATAATGTAATTGTTATATATAATAAGTGTTATATTCCATTTATATTGAGAAAAAGTAGAAAATTATATTGATGTAATATTATTGTTGGTAATTATTTAGAATACGGACTGCACCGTCGATTTTGATGAAATTAAGCTCATTCGACGCGTTTTTGTTCGGAACAAAAGAATCTGTAAGAAAAAATCTCAAATCGGTCCCGCGAACCATGACATTAAGCGTTAGGGTATAACCACATAAACTTGCATAGCCGAATAATCATATGCATAAAGAAAATTATCCAATTCACACTTCCAATTAACACTTCCATCATAAAGACAAACATAAAATACGATTGGATGATTTTTTTTTTATGCACACGTTTATGCGGCTATGCAAGTTGCGTGAAATGGCTCTTAAAGTTAATTACTATTGAAATTAGGAAATTTGTCACAGGCCTAGTTTCCACCGAGAATTTAATCCGGATCAGAATGTAAGAACCAACCAGGCCCAGTATTCCCCTGTCGTTCGACTGTAACAAAGGAATACTCGGCTGTAGTTAGTTGGTTTTTACATTCTGATCCGGATAAAATTCTCCGTGGAAACTAGGTCACAGAGGCTAGAGGCCTGTTCTTTTTGGCTGAACTTTTGTGCGCGATATGCGATCCAATGAAAGTATACCTTTAGAATGAAAATATCGGTAAAGCTGTACTGATTGAATATCGCGTATCGCGTGTGACGAACATCGCGTTGATGTGCCAAAAGCATTGGAGTGTATGACAATTGCTCACATGATCCAACCGTGTATAAGCTGTGTATAATCACAACGCTAAAAAAAACCCCCAAAACTCCCTACGCAGAAGTTGCTGTGATTGGCAGTAGGCAATTGCTACAGTGCGTAATTGAACCTCTCGAATTGTTGCACCAGTTCTTCCTTTTCTCTCCAGGAGAAAAAAGGAGGAAAAGATGAATTGGTGCAAAAGTTCAGCCAAAAAAAAAACAGGCCTCTATGCCTAGTTTCCACCGAGAATTTCAACCGGATCAGAATGTAAGAACTAATCAACTACAGTCGAGTATTCTCCTTAGGCCTAAAATGAGGTCTATAATTGTACTGTTCTACATAGGTTTCGACTTTTGCAAGTTATGTGGAATGCGAAAGTCTGTGTTCTCTGCTTTAAGAACACAGACTTTTGCATAATGCATAACACGTAATGCATAAAAAAATGTACCAATTAAAATGAATTTTTTATGTTTTATGCAAAAGTCTGTGCTCTCCGATTATGGGCAATCTACAATAAGCCATTAGTCATAAATCAGAAATTAAAAGTTGGAAATTGACGATTGTGATTGGTCAATTTTCAGCTTCTAACTTCTGATTTATGACTATACTAATGGCTTATTGTAAAATGCATATTATCTTTGTTATTTTGCCTCTGTGATAGATTTTCTAATTTCAATAGTAGTTTAATATCTCGGTTTGCGGAACCGACCTAACGTTTTTTCTTGCAGATTCTTTCATTTCAAGCAAAAACGTGTCGAAAGAACCTAATTTTATCAAAATCGGAGGTGCAGCGCGTATTTTAAAATTCTAAATAATTACCAAAGTATTAAATAAAAAAAAAATAGAAAATGCATGCTTATAAAATATTTGATGGTAGAACATAATAGAAAAAACGCAAAATATCTCATGCTTTTATTTAATATTTTCAATACGCAGAATAACGCAAAAAAGCCTAACCTGAAAGTGGAGTACGTGGTTATCTGAAAATATTGGTTATATCTCTAATAAAAATAATTATTTTATATTGTTAATTTCACCAGTGCACAAAGAGCGGACGATTCGCGAAAAAACACTTCTTTCCTTTCCGAATAAAAGTGAAACGCCACGTGGTTTGAACGGAACTAAAGGACTAAGCATAAAATGAATTATGCAAGTCAATGCAAGTCATGGAGTAATAAAGAGATCAAACTCTAAGAAGACTAAAAGTAGGCTTGAAACACGATTTCGGAAAACCCAAATAATCGAGATAATGTGATTTTAGTGCCATCGCGCCTTGCGGGAAAAGTTAGAAGTATTTATTGTCACGTGATCATAGATCACATGTATATACAGTCAGAAGCAATGGGTATATTCAATACTAGAGAGCCTATAATCAGAGTGGCGCCATACGGGTATCACTTGTGATTGGTCCGCCATGTTTTAGCCATTCCCTCCAGTTTTTTAAACGCATTATTTTCAAATTTTGAATTCATGCTAAAAAATGCTCAAAAATTGTGACACATTAAAAAATGATAATAAATAAATATTGTATATAAAATAATAATATATTAGGTGTTGGAATTAATTCGTAGCGTTTTTTAATGAAAGAATGTTATTTATTTCACATGAGCATTAAAAAATACATTAATGAAAGTACTTCCCATCACTTGTAAAACGCTACGAATTAATTCCAACACCTAATATATTATTATTTTATATAATATAAAATAATAAAACTGTTTCATATATTATTTATTATAAAATTTCATTTATTTTGTACTATTGCAATATTGTACATTTTGTAATATTACACATTACTTTATACAAAACGTTATTTATTGCACATTATTTGCGCTATTAAATGCTCTAGGTTATTATCCATTCTCTGTTCCCACATTTTAGGAGCAAAATGCATCTGTAATAATATAAAAGAAATAAAAAATTCAGAAAAATATTATATATGTATACACCATTTCATAAAATATTATATATTAAATATCGTAATTATCATATTATTTGATTTAGTGACTCACAGTACAATGATATATAATTGAAAAGATTACGACAAAAAGAAAAAGAATTAAATTCGTAACCAATATGATAACTATACATATACTTAGTGCCAAAACATTATCGTGTCTTCAGATATTATAATTAATCTATGTATATTTTATGTTACATTTTTATTTTAATATTTTAAATACATTATTTATAAAGAATAAATTACTTTACCTCACATACAGATGAATTTTTTGACGGTGTCCAATTTTTATATTTGCCATTTATACTCTTTAACCAATTCATTCGACGTTCTGTGTCTTTCGGAATTATTTTCATAACATATCCTTTTTTTAATGAATTGTTACAAAACGGTATTGTACATCCAACCATATTTCTAAAATAATTTCGATAACTTTTTATCATTGTACCTTTACGTATCTATGTCGTTCAATGCTGTTGCACCTAACCCTAAAACTGACAGTCTGTTGGATAGACTGAGACCGTATATCTCTTTCTCTCTCGCAGAATTTCGCTAAAACATGGCGCCACTCTGATTATAGGCTCTCTATTCAGTACTATACCGCTCACCACTGAGCACTCAATGACCTCTTGTATCTGTTTGGTCTATATTTTTAGATCTAACGGAATATGCCAATCAGATGCAAGAGCTCACTGAGCGCTCAGTGAGCAGTTGTGGTATTGAATGCACTCATTAAGGTCGTGACACTTTTTTTTTATGAGTTTAAGACGGGGAGCACAGACTCTTGCATAACGCACAACACATAATGCATAAGAAAAACCAATCAAAGTCTTTTATTTCCTTCCTTTTCACAAAATAAAGGATTCTGATTGAATGATTTTCTTATCCCTTATGCTTGATGCGTTATGTATGAGTCTGTACTAGGGCCCTAAGAATCAAAGGCCAATATTCATAATCAAATCTTATAGTGTTCTCGGCCAGACCGGGTTTGCACCAACTTGGGTTAGAAAATGCTTTGCTATTGGTTGACGTTGTACGCTCTACCAATAGGAGAGACGATCATTACTTCAACCCAGATTAGTACAAATTCGGTCGAGCCGAAAATATAATATATTGGGTCATCTAAAAAGTATCCGCGGTACTTTGTCACTAGATATATGACCATTAACACAAGTGACAAAAAACCGCGGATACTTTTTAGATGACCCAATATTATATTCAAGACCATTTTAAATACGGTCTTAAGAATCATGAACCACTCAGAGGGCTGTATTAGCGTCTTAGGACATTACTTAAGACGGCATATGTCGACTATGAATAGGTTGTATACATAAAGTAGGGGAGCTAGCTAAACTATCTTAAGAACCAATTACAGGCCTAGTTTCCACCGAGTGTTGCTTACGCGCAGTGAATGCACAATGGAAAACCGTAATGTATAGAAGAGATATCAACAGGTCACGTGACCAATCTCTCTGTGGTCTAGTTTCCATCGAGAGTTTAATTCGGATCAGAATGTAAGAATCAATCAACTACAGTCGAACATTCCCCTAGCATTCGACTGTAACAGAGGAATACTCGACTGTTGATTATTTCATACTATGAAATAGTTGCTCACACCAATTCACAGATACATTACCACATTCGCAATTCTATTCATCCATACAGCGCTTTTTTGACAGCGCGTTTCGAGCCCATTTTTTTCGGAACCGACCACTTGAGTTTGGTCTCCTGTTTATTCTGTGGATTATAGAAACTCTATTATAACCAATCAACAGGCTTGAAAAATTTGTACGATAACATATAAATGAAATAATAGCCTTATTCCACTAATCGCGCTCAGTTGTGCACATCGATTGATTTTTGCGTACTTCGTTAGTCCGACAAGGAACTTTAATCTATCACCGTGCGAAATTTAATCTATCACATCATATGTAATTGTTCTTAAAAATGCATATTGGAAAAAATATTTAATTTTGCTAAAATAAATGCAACTTTAAAAATATATTTCCAAAAATACCCGTGTCAAATTATCACCGAGTCTCAAATAAATTACAATTCATATAATGTAAAATAAAATGTTATAATTGAATTGTTTGAAGATGTAATCCACAGTCATATAGAAATATTATTAGATATCTAATCGATTTAGCGTTTTTCTACTTATTTAATTTAAAAAATTCTAAATTAAATAAAAAATAGAAAATTGACACAAAATGGAATCTACTTCAAATAAATTTAAATCAATTAAATTTTTAATATTGTTCTAGATGTAGATTATGGTGTATATCAAATGCATCTTATAATAAATGGACTTAGTGTTAAACATAGATTTCTTGTAGAATTAACAAGTAGGAAAGATTAAGATGTTTATGAAGACAATTAGTTATAATTTTTCGCCTTTTATTTAAAGACAGTGATAAAATTATGAGTTACAACAGTGTTGATGTTACCAATGCTTGTTGTTTACTCTTTATATTCAGGCTTCCTGATAGAATCAGTGAACGCTCTTGCCTTTTCTCTACTAGCTTTCTTGTTAGCATTCCTGTTGCATTTTTTTGTTGCCTTGTATTTAGTCAATTGCTCTTTTCTTCTTTTCAAAAGCGCAATGGTCTTCGTCGTCGACGGTTTCTTTGACAATTTTATCTGTAATATCCATAAATTGATCGATAAGTCAAAATTTTGAATACAAACTGTTTACTTTTTTCAATTCTCCTTCCATACTACTACACAAGTCTAAAATGTATAAAATAAAATGTACTAAAATAAAAACCACATAGTATAGTACATACGCCTCGTTTTTCAGCGAGAAGCAAATCCTTTTCACGTTGACGTTTTTGCGCAGTCAGAATAGCAGCGCGTTTCAAAACTGCAGCATACGGGTTGAGACGCAACATAGCCCGTGTGTTGGTCAACGGGTTCAGTTTCTTTACTCTACGCACCACTTTCTTCCTGTAATTGCATAAAATAAAACATATCAATCACATTATTTATCATAAATGATAGATAAAATGGGGTGCTCGAAATAGCACCCCAGTGCGCTATCAAAAAAAGTATATTTACGAATTTAATTTTTAAAAAAGTATATTTACGAATTTAATTGACGATATATATAAAAGATCTTTTATTCTTCGCCTATAATTACCTAGGAGCTCTCAAGACTTTGCGAATTTCCTCAGACTTTAGAAGTCTGGATAGATCTGTGTTGGCCATTTTAGGAAATGGCAAGTTATATCCTTTCTTAAGCTGTGATTCTTTACGCCAGGTTCCATAAAGGGCATCCAACTGGTCAAAAGCGGATTTCGTCCAGATTACAAAGCGTCCGACGTGACCGCCAGGTGCCAATTTCAACAGATTCATCTTGTTGATGTTCATTAGAGAAACGCCTGGGATATTGCGGAATGCTTTACGAATACCCTAGAAATTAGAATGTGATTTATATAGCAATTTTTTATAATTCTTAGGCTTAATAATTAAGTTTGCATATAAATAAAATTTATTTTAATTCGAATTCTGTTTACAGATTGAATTGCCAGAGAGAAAACTTTAAAAGAAAATTGCTTACCTGATCTTGGCCATATACAATTAAAGGTCCACGTCGCTGAATGCGTCGGCGATTACGCATTTTACCTTTACCAGCACGAAAACGTTGAGATTTATACACCTGATAAAAAATAAATAAAATATAATTTAATAAAATATTTTGGTTAAAAATTTAGAAATTTATATAAATCACATGGATTTGATTAATTGCCTCTTCTTCATAAGAATTTTAGAGACCTATTCTGTAAAGCCCGATCTACATAAGATGCAGAACGCGAGTCGCAGATCGTAAATTGATTGCAGCTAATCCGATACATCAATTTTGAAAGCGACACTTTAAAATTGGCTGACACAACAAGCTTACGACCTGTGACTCGGGTTCTGTGTTTTATGTAGATCGGGCTTAATTCTTAACGACTGTAAACGTTACAATTACATGTTAAGAGTTACAGAATAGACTCCTTAATTTAAAAAAAAATAAAAATAACCAATAGGAAATAAAGACCATAACGGTCGAAATTGTTTTAAAGAGCTGTTTTAAGATTTTTAATTCTTTATATATAATTCTATACGAATTTGGGAGGCTCCCATTGCACATATTGCACGTGTCGCTAATTGGCCAATTTAAAAATAAAATATTCTCATTGGCAAAGCAGTGAAAAATTACTAGGCACCAGCTGATATAGAGTGGTGTGTACAATCGGGATTGTAAGCAAATGACGAGATCCTCCCGTGAATTTGTATATAGGGTGTCTCTTAAAATGGGCCATATTGGGAGCGGAGAATGGATCAAAGGGAACAAAAAATTCTTAATCATTTTGAGATACTCGCTGTAGTTTTCGAATTAGAAAAGAAAATGTCTAAGCCAATATGCGGTTAAGCCGCACCGCGCGAATTCATAGCACGGCCCACAATCGAGTGCCAACAAAGCGCTCCTTCCCTCTCCCTGCGCGCCGCCGCCGCTCGAGTGTTTTTAAACTCGAATACTTATAAAAAGTACAAAAAAAATTGTTTGGTGATTCATACCCTTTGCTAGTGAGCGCAAATCAACTAGTAAAGAACGCCTGAATACCATATTCCTCTAGCACCTATTAGGAGCATCTAAGCTTAATTTTGTTTAGCAAAGATGCGGACATTTATTGGTGCACATAAACACGACAGGCAACGCAGAAAAATCTTAAAGACTAAAAGAAATTAAAACCTTTTGGATATCATTCCAAGCCTTGATGCGTCTCAAAAAGATGACAGCCTGTTTAGTTTTCGTGTATTCTTGAATCTTATCAGAAACAACAAGCGGGAATTCCGGAACCTCCTGGATCAAGTGTCCTATGTACAAGTACGAAAATATAAAGTATATCACAGTCAGTCTATTTTATTCAGAAATATTTAAATTATTTTTAAATATTAATATTAGAACGTGATACAATAACTTTTCGTAATTCGGTCAAATTATTAAAGAAAACAGAAAAATATTTCTATATTCGATATAAAAATATTGCAAAATATCTCAAAGAAAAAAGAAAAAAGAAAAAAAAAAGAAATTCATTTTCTTTAATAAAAAATATTATCTATATAAAAGACACATACCTTTAGATTGGACAAGTGCAGGAACACCAGAGGCGGCAATAGCAGAAACGAGAGCATAACGCTTCTGATTGACATTGACATGATGATGCCAACGACGCCACGGCTTAGTAGGTGCAAACATACGCCCGCCTCGGCACATATTACCAAAAGCACCCTGACCAGAACGGTGGGTACCACCGCCACGTACACGAGGTATACGGGCCACAGCACGTCCAGTACCCCATGACTCAGCAGAGGTTTGATGACCTGCGAAAAATAAAAACTATTATCTTTTTATGCTTATTTATTATTCAAATATTATAATAATTATCATCGTAATAATAATGAAATTAAAGAAAATAATAAAAATAAAAATAAAATTAAGATAATGGCTTAGCAGAAAAAGTAGTTGCAACTGTAGTAAGATTCTTTAACATGATTGATTCTTGTCTTTGAATCCTTGCTGAATCTAAATGTCTAACTAATAAAAAGTAAAAGAATTTTACAACAATTATAAAGCTGCTTTTTCTACTGAACACATCGATATTCACCGGCTTCTTTAGAAACACAGTATGGTTGTCTTTTGTTTGTAGAAATCAACTGGTGGACAACATTAACGATATCAGGACGAATTGGTGCTTTGAAGACAGATGGCAGGGAAATTGTATCACCTGATGCCTCATTCTTGTCAGTGTAGACCGTAATAAGTGGTCGCGCCGTTGATAACGACTAAAAAAAAAGTTATAACAATTCAGAATATATTATAACTTAACAAAAAGAAGAGCATAAAACTACAGCATAAGATATTCTTTGTATTGATAAATATATAATTACATTAATAAATAATTTAGACGTTTCGGCCACAATCTGACCATCTTCAGTAAAATTACAAATATTCATAAAACACAGAATTTACATAAATCTAACATTAAATTCAGCGGTCAAAAATATAAATATATATAAAAACGCATTCTTTCCTCTTATAAGAGTACATCATAAAACGTGTTCTACATAATTTGCAATATGATAATTGGCGCTGCATGTTTTACAATGTACTCTTACCATGCGTATCAATTTAGCTTTAGAGCCTCTTAGAGAAGCAGAGGATCGCTTATATTTTTGCATTTGATAGTAGTTTGTATTCTTACTCCTTAGAGTTCGTCAACACTCGAGGAGATTATCGCTGAATGGTGAACACGAAAAATTGCGTATATAGGGCGCCCCAGATGAATATATAATAACATTGTTATTCATAAGAATAATGAATCATATACTTCTTGTCCTTCAATTTGAGTTTATTTATAAATATCGCTGAAAAACATTCTCAGAAATTCAGATTTCAGGGATGTCTGTAATACTGTATAGCACATAGCTACAAAAAATATAATATTGCTACAATTTAAATAAAATTGTTTTTATCTGCAGCATTTTTTTCCGCTAAAATTACGCTCATTCATAACATAATTTTTACCATTGGATGGTGTATCTTGAAATGTGTAAAAATACGAAAATAAGAAAATTTATTACAATATTTGTAATATCATTGGTCAATATCTACACTCTAAAAAATCAGATTTAACAGAATGTAGGGTCTACTTAATTTAACCATGTTGATGTTAATATTGGGTTGGAGAAAAAGTTCTGTGGAATTTTGTTAGCTCAAAATTATATACAAAATATATGTCCGTTTTTTCACTTATTCAGAATGGTTCAAAAAATTTCTAAAAATTCATCAACATGCTTTTAATTTTGCAACTTTCTAGAATAAATATTGAAACTTCATTTTGAAAAATAATAAAATATAGCATAATTTAGCAAGATTCAAAGAAACTTACATGAACAGGAATCGCTCGGTCACTGACTCAACCTTGTATGGTAAGGGTTAATAAAACAGATTCTTAAAATTGAAACGGTGCTTTATCAGTGTTGTAATTACCAATTTTTTAAAAAATAGAATATGTGTATATTTGAGTTAAAAATGTGATATTAATGTCCTTTTTCTATTGGATAATGATTATTTAAGGATAGTAATGTTATATTTTTAACTCAAATTTCTATATATTTTACATTTAAAAAATTAACATGATACTATTCAATAGAGCAATGTTTCAGTTTTTAAGAATCTGTTTTTTTAATTGCAATATGATGATTTTTAATGGAATTAAATGAACAATCAAAGTCAGAATACTCCTTTTTACTTAATAACTCAAGAACAAAAAATTGTAGAAACATTTTTAAAAAACAATTTTGTAAGGAAAATTTCAAACTGTCACGATATAGATAGTTGAAAATTTTCGCAAATTTTTTGACACGTGACAAATCCACAAAGTGAGAAAAAAATTTTCTTTTTTTCAGTTCGTAGTTTTTTATAAAAATTACAAAACTCACTTATTAAATTCAAAAAATATGTAACCATTCAAAAGTAGATATTTCAAGCTTTGAAACTCTTTTTTAAATTTAAATCTTGATCAGTTTTAATATTATATTATTTTTATATATACGAAGATATTGTATATATAATTTTGAGTTAATAAAATACTGCAAAACTTTTTCTCTATTTTCAATATTAACACAGTAAGAATTATATAGATTAATTGTGCTAAATCTACATCGAGATATTTAGAATACAGGTATTGATCAATAAAAAAAAAAGTTACAAATATTGTGATAAATTTGCTCACTTTTGTGATTTTTGTCTCATTTAATATTGATCTCTATTACACAGCACACTTAATCAGGTTTATTCGTAGTTATGAAATTGGTCAATCATAGCTGTTTCTCGGAAGAATGGAATGACTATGATTGATCAATTTCATAACTACGAATGTCATTAAACCCAATTAAGGGTGCCATGTAAATATAATCATTAAGACCAATATAGTATGGATTCAGGATCCTTGGTATTACCATCAACACCATCATAATACAACCTGTATTCGAAACACTTTTATCTCTGAAATTCTATATGCGTAACGTATAGTACGTTAGCGCGCTAACACATCGTTGTAAAAGCGTTCTGAATACAGGCTTTGGTGTCAAATCCACATAATCATATTAATGTTAATATTAACACCAACTCAGTTGTGAAAATTATATAGAACTATAATGACAGCATGGTGCCAAATATATAAATATTTTTTTAGAATGTAGTGAATTTGCTCACTTTTGTAATTTTTACCTCCTTTCAAGATACATAATCGATTTCCTGATTATTGTTCAAGAGTCCATAGACTATATGCTCGTGCTTCACATACGCAACAGCTACCGCAATGGCGGACCGGACATCGTGTCTCGACACATGCACATGGTATCGAGGAATGTGCTAACAAATTTTGGATCCTTATATTCTTGCAGTTATTATCGCGATAATAAAAAAAAAATCTGTCTCAGCTGTTATTGGAGAACAATGTATAATATTAATTCGAAGGGAAGATATTCATAAGGTGTCATGTATGGTGTGCCGAAAACGGCACAGATGAGCGTGATCATTTTTGACGAAATTAAACGAGCGATCACGCAAAATCGACAGAAAAGAAAATCGCGATGTACGTTCGCATATGGAAAATCGATTTCTTACCATCTCGTGTGTCCTTCCTATTATTTTTCACGCATGAGACGTAAACCTAACCAGACTGCGTTTGCACGACTCGTCTGACCACGGGTAGAAAGGATCAAAGAAACATGTAGAGTGGAAACCTGAAAATAAGTACGGTATAGAAGGATTAATCCGGATTCTCATACACACAAAGCGCTGATTGATGAAAAGCTGGTTGTGGGAGTAAAATTTACCTCCATCATCCATTTTTCACCAATCAGCGTTTAGTGTCAGAGCCATTAGGGCGTTCACATTTTGATGAAAAAACAGAAAGTAAAAAAGCGGCAGCCAATCAGAACTAGCGATAGTAGTCTACAATTTCTGTATTATTAGAGATCCTATAATCAGAGTTTGACAAAAGCGGGCATAATTTGGGTCGTTTATGCTGTTACTGTCGCAGATGTCGTTCATTTATTCTATCTGCGTAAAGTCACTAACATGGAATAATAAGGGTGAAATCACACGACGGAAAAGGGCTGCGAAATAGAGAATGCGTCATTAGCTTCGTCAATTGCGTTCAGTAGACTCAATAGTTTTGCAATCATTTTGTGATTCGTCGCGCTGATTGGATTATACTTTTAGATTTAAAGGAATAGTCCTATCTTAGCGAAGAATCATAAAAAAGTTGCAAAACTGTTGAGTCTGCTGAACACAATTATTAAAACAACCAATTAGCGCTATTCGAAAAAACATAGAATACTGATTGGTTGCTTCTATGACGCATTTTTTATTTCGCACCATGTGATTTCATCCTTAGGAGATGATCATAAATCAGGGCTCCTATTCTAGAAAAGTATCGCATACGAAAAACTAGGGAAATACTATAATATACGTCACAAATACTATAGTACATCCCTAGTTTTTCGTATGTGATATTTTTCAAAAATAAGGACTCAGGGGCGCGATTCCGTAACTGTTTTACATCAGTTCTACCTTCTACCAACAGTTATTGGTGTCATTGTTGGCTTGTTTTCCTGCTGGATTGCTAGCTGGATTAGAATTTTGCCATCGTATTAGCTGCAATGAAAGATTGTAATTCAGTTAGGGGCTCCGCACAATAAAAGAAATAAGGGATAGAGAATAGAGAGTAAGAATTTCAACCTATTAGAAATCATGTATTATGGAAGTTTCTGATAGGTTAAAATTCTTAGTAGCAATAGTACAATAATAAGCGGTACATTTCGCTTATCTGCTGTCTTCTGTCTTTTCGCGAGTTCTGATTAGCTTTCGCTTTTCCGCTTTCTGCTTTTCGTCAAGGTGTGAACCCAGCCTTATTCTCTGTTTTCTGTTCCCTAGGGTCGATTCTGTATCTTCAGTATCTTCAAACAAGATGAAAATTACAAAAACAAGCAAATTTATTAGGTGTTGACCAATGAAATAATCAGTATTCTAGTAAATTCGCTCACTTTTATAATTTTCATCTTATTTTACAGAATTGATCTCCCTGTTCTTTTTATTGGGCGGAGTTCTTAGCAATCTAGCAGGAAAATAAGCATCGTGTGTAGTTGGCTAAGTCACGTGATTGCAATGACCAATCAGAACATTTCACACCAGTCGCGCTTCTCTTATAATTCTAGGACTCTGGGTATGATCAACGCGATGCTGCAAACGTTGTTTTTTAATTGGTTAGTTTGTAAAATTCTTTCTTCTAATTGGTCCATCAAATGCTTCGAAGCATTTGTAGTGATACTTTGACCACAGCCTCTATACACTATAAACGCTCCCATTAGCTGCCATTAGCTCGACTATCTCTACAAGATTTATTCTCGATGACCATAGTCCGAGTTCTTGTAAAGTTTGCCCGCGTACCGGTTACGCAGTTTGCGCGTGTAATAACGGAAATTGTTCACATTGTATTATCAAACGTTTCTTGCATCTTGTGAACTCAAAGACTTCGACTTGCGGAGCATTTTGAGAAATTGATCAAGGTATGTATGTGCTCACAACGTGATTAACGTTTCGCTGAAAAAATACGCCTCTCTGTCGCATCAATGTGATCGGACAAACATCAAACTCTTGTTCATTTTTCTTCTCAACAACTTAAATATCTCTTAAGGCTCGTAAGTTGTAGAAGTAATTTATGAGGGAGAAGAGGAGAATATCCTGTTTTAGTTTACAATAATGTTATTTATAACCATATATTATGTTTGGATATCAATGTGGTAACAGTAACTATTAAATACACTTTATTACACTTTCTACACTTAACATGAAGAAGTAATCCAGGATAGAGAAAGAAAGCAAAATGATTTTGAGAGAAATAATATAATATTAAATGCCAAACATTCTTTGATAATCATATAAAAGAAGATTTTCTTTACGTTTGAAGAAAATGATGAGAAAATATTCGTTCTTACGATAGTGAAGTAAACCGTCGTAAAGAACATTTTTTAAGGTTAGGGGAGCTGTTATATCGACAGAGTAAACGCGCGAATTGTAACGAGACAATAAACTATTTAAATTTATTATAATTTTACACGACGAATTTTTTGACGAATTTTGGAGCTATAAACATTTTCTATTTTGTTAAAATAATAAATTTTCTGTGTCAAGATTGAAACGTAGAAAACTAGTAGCATATTGTTACGCAAGTATTTTTTCGATTTTTTTTAAATTTAAATATTTATTATATATTTTTTATATTTATTTATATAATATCCAATAATATTTTAATTAAAAATTAATATTTAAGTTTTAATAAATTATTCAATTATTAATAGAAATTAAATAATCAAAACATTTTTTCGTTATAATAATGAAATCGAGATTCTTTTACATAGTTGTATCAAGCATCAGTAATAATGAAAAATTACGTGTTAAAAAAAAATCTTAAAAATAACGAAGGTAAAATATAAATAATCATCTTTAATATACAATTTTACATACAATGATGTCTTGCAGTATTTTTATTGCTGTCAGTTTCAACAAACAACAAAGATCGCGTAAAAAAATACAATTGAGAATGTGTCGTTAGAAAAATTTGATATATCCACAAAAGCACCGAATAATAAGGATTCTTAACTTTTAATGGACGAAATGCAATTTGCGATCCTTTTATATAGGATATATTATATGTATACTACGTGTAATTACTACTATATAATAGCTAGAACAAGTTGTAGCAGAAACAAGCTCCTTTTAGCAGAAAAAAGTTGTATACAGGTTGAGATGTTGTTTAAGGCATGCAGATTAATTTCTCAGAATATTGAAAATCGAAAGGACAAAATATGTGAATTAACAAGTACATAATTCTCGAGGGGGATATTTAGCATTTATATCATTTTTTTCTAAGAGAAATTAATATGTTGCACTTTATTTACCTCGCTTCTGTATACCATTAATAATTTTATTTCACACTTTACGGACATACTTATTGTTCTAATAGTAAGGCGTTTGGATTACATTATAGGCAACTATATATCAGAGAATTGTACTCTGATATAAACAACTTTTATACTATTGTTTTTGTTGTATAAAAAAGAGGCGTGACTGCGCAGAATGGCAATCAGAAGTTGATATTAAATCCGAAGGCTGTATGAAAAAAAGAAATTAATTATGAAAAATATAATTAAAGTTAAAATTCTTTTTTTTTTTTTTCCAGAAGTCTGCAATATACAAATTAATTAGCGAATATTTACGCAAGTATATAGCAATATTTATATAAGTATATTAATAAAAACTGAATCAAGTTTCAAAAACTAATTTAATTTTAGTCTATAACATTCATAAGTAATATCTGCTATATTTCTTTGCATCTTCGAGAATAATTCCTGAGTCATTTTTCCGGTAAAAATAAAAACCGAAGCAGAAGCCGAATGTAAAGAAAAAGTATTAGAAACGTTCACGAAACTTCTAGAAAACATAAGAAACAGCGAGAAGCGTTTACTTAAAGAAAAAAAAAACGCTTTTTTTATGTTCGACAATTTACTCTTCGTAGAAGTTTCATTGCACTTCTGTCAAGCCGAAAACATAATGAAAGCGCAAACAATAGGAACAGAAGATAACAAATTTCAACCTATCAGAAACCATATACAAGAATGGATGCTTTCTGATAAAATCTCTTATTCCCTGTTCCTATTGCCTGCGCTTTTCATGTTTTGTTTCCAACTTTACTCTTCCTTTACATTCAGCTTATGCTCCGATTTTTATCTTCGCCAGGGTTACTTGTATCGACAAGAATATCAGCTAAAAAAAAATGAGAGAGAACATTTGTCTTCTTATATCATGACATTTTGTTTTTTTATATCATGAGTACATATAGGCTTGTTCGTTTATCTTTTTAATTCCTTTTAATTTCTTTAAGCTTGAGACATAATTGAAAAGGTAATAGAAACAGGTAATAGAAACAGCGAATAACAGATTTCAATTTATCAGAGTTATCAGGAATTGATGTATATAAGAATATATGGAATTCTAATAGATTGAACTCTATTATTGCTTGTTTCTATTGTCTTTGCTTTTCAATTGTGTTTCGGCTGTATTTTCTTAGCGAATTTATTTACTTGCAGTAAATAAATCGAATGCGGAAGAATATAAATTTTTCAAACGCATTCACTGATTCTACTAAGCGTTGATTAATCAGGTGCGCTTTAAAACTTTTTATCTTCGTAACAAATTCAAGTTTTTTTCAATTGAGATAGCGAATATTTATGCAAACGATATCAATTATATAAAATAGGCACATGATACGATCGCCTTCGAGAGGATCATTTCTGAATTCTTTCTCAAGAAGTATTGTCTTATAATTCTCCATTGCAGTTTGCAATCCTTTTCAAGGTTTCAGAAGATTTCAATTTCTATATGATTATCCCAAATCTTGGAATTTCATACTCTTGAAATCTATATTTTAACAAGAGATAAACACTCGAGATTATTAAGTTGATGCAGTTTGTTGTATTTGTCAAGTAAAATTGAAAACGAAATCGTGTAGTTTTGTAAAACAAATCTCTTGCACCAACTTGATACTCGAGAAAAATATCAAGATGTCACCTGAAAGAAATGCAAAACATCGAAACTCTCAGAAACGACCTTAGACCTCGAAGGCGTCCCACTGCTACGCTATCATGGCAGCGATCGGACTAAAACGCATGATTTTACTGAGAAGGATCCAGGCTACCGATGCAAGAGCACAGAGAGTGACTCCACCCCATCCCAGGTCCATACTCCACGCGGTAGTGACTCTCCTGGCCTTGAGAATGCTGCGAAGAACAGGCATACCAATCACGCCATCTTCTATTGATTTGGTCCCGCGATCTTGAACTCTCTTGAAGTGAATGATTGTGAGCGTGAACAGCGCGAATGTTGCTAGAATGAAATAGAGTGATTGCCAACTTAATCATCATTGTTTAATATTTTAATGACTGCACCATATATACATGGCAATTAAATTAATATATTTTTCTTTATTCCAACATCATATTTGAAATTATGATCTAGACCAGTTTATCAAGTTATTAGATTAGTAGACTTTTACCTGCAAGGAGGTACATCACTCCTGTCACGAGTACGGCCGATATCTGATGCCTGCATAGTCCAAAAAATCCTATAAGTGCAGCGCATCCTAAGATGATTAGACACACCAGAGAGCACGAGATACTCAGATTTTGCATTCCTGAAGCAGATTATTAAAATGATCAATTTATGAAATTCGTGATAAATATTCATAGGAAATATATTTTATTGAAGAATAAAATAGTTTAGGATTATAGAATAAAATTTGTTGCGCTTTCATTAAATGTACATTAAATGTATTTACAATTTACTTACGATTTTGCCAAGCTGCGCGCGCTTCTATGTGCGCCTCGCTTGGTGTTAAATAATTGACGCATCTTTTTTGCGGGAAATTCACCTGACTTAACAGCTGTATCTCTTCCTCTAGAACAACAAGCATGATTCGTTTAGCTTTGTTTCTTTCCATTCAAATAAATAAAATTATATAGAAAACTATACTATATTACTTTCGAAATCATTGTCAGAAAACAGAATTTAAATTCTTTCATTTAAATGCTATTGAAAATTTATTAAAACTTTTTGGCTCTTCCAGATTCCGTTTCTAAACATTATCTTTCGATTGAGAGAAATTAAATTGCCAAATCACAAATACTATGTGTATTATCATACTTTTGATATATTCTTTGATTTAATAGATTTGACTATAGAAAATTTTAACACTTTGACTGGATATAAATGTCACGCAAAGGTGGTGCAGGCAGTACTAGGCAGTGCTTAGCGTGTTCAGACTCTATGAATGTAATTCCGACAAAAATAACTAAATGAGACAATTACGACCCCAAATTCTTCAAGTACTCTTCAAGGTTGCATCCGTTCGATTAAACGAAAAGTATATGAACACGTGTAGTTGCATTAGGTATCGTTTAACGTTTTATTAAATGGGCACTTTTTCTATCAATTGTGTTTCCAGATTGAGTATTTTCCAGTTCTACTGTATTTTATTTACGGACTCCTTGATCTATTTGAAGTTTTTATACTTTAATGAAGAATAATGTTTTTAAAGAAAAATTGACGAAGACATGATACTTATTGTGTTTCGTGGAAATGCAATAAATATCTTACGCTGGAATTTTGTCAAATATTACCTTGTCTATATTGCACGTGCACGTGACTATATTTAGATACCACCTTGACTCTGGTCGGAGATATCGAACCGTCGAATCGCACAATTTAAGCACAGTATCCTTATGATCGCGTGACCGTGATCTTTGCTTTTGTGGATTGAGCAATACTATCATACTTATTAGAACCAAACTTCATTCGAATGCCGATTTATAAGACCGATAATGTTTCTATTGACATGAGCAAGAAAATACGAAACATTGATTGTATCCATATCATAATAAGGATATTAGAAATAATGGTATGATTTAACGTTGCATCCGTAAATGATTGCGAATAATTTTTAATTATCTTTGTAAAGAAAATTTCTTTTAATTTGTATTTCTTTCCATCAATCATTTTCTCATTATTATCAGCGGTGTATTTAACAATAACATTATTAGGTTTTTATTAGTATCAATATTTAGCATTTATTAGTTTTAATATCACGATTGAAATTGCCACAATTAAAAACATCCGTAATGATAATTTGTAAGTTTAATACGCTATGGAATAAGTTGGAAACATTAGGGTCCGCATTCATAGTCGTGAAAATATAATATATTATATTTATGCAATTCTAGATCTAATAAGTTTAACATTACAAAAATCACGATAGTTTATACCTGACAATGAAACACACATAATCCAAATGCCGCCGTGCATAGGAACTAAGAAGGTTGAACTTTTGGCGGTACGATGTTTATTTCGATGATTAACGGAAGACTCGAGCTTTGCCACTTGACCGTTCAGATACCACGTGAGATTGACGTTCGCATGAATTAGATCTTCCCTGTCCCAGTTGATTTCTTCCCAGTGATCCGACATTATTGCACTGCATAGGAGCCCCGTTGCTGAGAAATGATGAAAGAAAATGTAATTATTGAATTGCTTATTTTTCTATTAAATCCCGGTCCATAATCAAAGTTTTTTTTCTCTAAATAGGAGGCGGAAGGGTTGAAAAGTTTCTTGGAAATCAAATCGAAGCTGAACAGTTTAGAACAATTTTGTTCTTAACTTTTTGATGAGATACATTTTTCGCACCAGCTTCTTTAAAAAAAAAAATATATATATCAATCAGAGAGACTGTGTTGATCTTTACACTTCTCACGAGTCGAGACGTCAGTCTCTTCCGGAACACGGTGCCGGTTTCCTCATCTCTTTACCTGCGACGGTCAGCACGAGGGTGACGAAGAGAAAGACGAGGCGCGAAGCGGGTCCCCGGGACACGCGGGTCGGCTCCATCTGCTCTTGGACGGCGGCGCCCAGGGCGACGCCTGCAACGCGACGCTCGCGTCCCCCGACTCGTTACTGGTCGACGTACGCCCTTGGAACCTGCTCTTTCTCGCTTTCTCTCCCCGACATCCTCGCGATGCGGACGCCCTCCACCCTTCTACGTTGAAGCGTCACGACGAATCGACCCACATGGATAGCCACCCGATTTCTCTCCTTTCCCACCCGCGGATGCTGCGGATGTCCACTTCAACACCCACTCACCCCTTCTGCATCTTCTGAAACAATTGCATGTGCGAATAAAGCTCGCGTCGTGCCAAACATTGGAAATTAAGGGCGGTAATTCACAGTATGATTTTATATTTGACACCGTCTTAAGTACAGTGTTAAGATGTCATGAACAAAGTAAAAGAGAGCCATATTAGTGTCTTAAGACATACTTAAGACAGTCTTAAAATAAGAACGGACTATGAATACCGCCATAAGATTTCCTTATAAGTCATCGTAGATCAAAGATCGAAATAATTAAATAAATAAAATGAATTTTAATTTCAATTCATCACAATTAATTTTTATCTCTTTCGAGAAAAAAGATGCTCGTTTGCATCTATATATACACGTTCGTTAATATATTCTCTCTCTCTCTCTCTCTCTCTCTCTCTCTCTCTCTCTCTCTCTTTCTCTCTCTCAACTTATCTAGAAATATCTTTGCATAATCTGATGTAAATCTAATGTTGCACATACCATACATCTTATTTGAAGCAGACACAATATTAAGCCCCGGTTGCACCAACGTAACTTTAAGCAAGACTTAAACTTTAAGAAAGACTAAAATTCTTTCCGTCTCATTTTAAAGCGAAAGAGAGACAGAGACAGAGAGACTTGCTTAAAGTCAAAATAACGATGCAATCGGGCCTAAGAGGTATGAAAATTCGTTAAATTTAGATTTTGCCTTCTAATGTTGTGAAAAGATCATAGCTTAATAGAAATTTTCTGATTACTTATATTTCCTATTCCAAAAAAACGTTTTCTACCGTCAGTTGACTGATTTTACTTGGTTGATTTTACCGATATAGTTTACATTGTTAAGATTGTTTACTTTTGTTGACGTTTTTCAAAATATATATGCAAGTTATATGTTACTATATAAATATTCTCTTGTTTTTGTTTTTTAGATGGCCGACGTGTCGGAGGAAGTGCCGATCAAGGATGCCGCAACAGCAATCTCTCAGGGTAAACGCCACCTCCTGGTACGCGATTATCATCTCGCAGTAGCCGTCTTAGCTCGTGCGTGCGAGCTTCTTGCTCAGGAGCATGGAGAGACCGGCGACGAGATGGGTGAACTCTATCTACTTTACGGACGAGCTCTTTTGGGTCTGGCACGTGAAGAAGCGGGAGTGTTAGGCGGTGGTGTACCCGGATCCGAGGAAGTCAGTCAGGATGAGCAAGGTGAAGATGAGGAGGAAGAAAATGAGGAGGGAGCTACAACCGAAGGTAATCATACAGAAAGTAGCTCTTGCACATCAAATGGCAAAGAAGATGATAAGCAAGAGACAAAGGATGAGGAAAAAGAGGATGAAGAGCCAAAGGACTCAAAAGATACGAAAGTTGAAGAATCTGAGGAAGGACTCGAAAAGGATGAAAAGAAGGAAGAGTCTAATAAAATGGTGGACAATAAGATTGAAGAACAGAACAAGCAAAGAGAAGAAATTCCTGGTTGTAGTCGAGATTTTGATTTGCATAATGGCGAAGCTTCTGGTAGTGGAATGAACAGAAAAAAAGAAGATGAGGATGAAGAGGCGGAAGAAGAGGATGTTGAAAAGGAAAATGACGAGGAAAATGACGAAATCAACAATCTACAGGTGATTTATTTAGATTACATGTTATCTAGATTTATCTTTAATTATATGTGTTAGAAGACTCAATTACGTTATGTATCGAATACTTTGGCTTGTTGTCGAATTGAGTTATCCAAGTTTAATTGTTAATTTAACTAATCTATTGATAAATATTGAATCAGTTATAATTCTAATGTCTAATTTCTGTTTCTAGATTGCATGGGAAGTCTTAGAACTAGCGAAATTGGTGCTAGTAAAGCGCGGACCTCCGGGCTGGAAGTTTTTGGCTGAAGCTTACCGTCTTCTGGGCGAAGTTGCGATGGAGGGTAGTAACCATGAGAGTGCGCTGATCGATTTCAAGGCCTGTTTGAATCTTCTAGAAAAAATGACTCCACGCGACCATCGTGCGATCGCCGAGATCCATTATCAGCTCGGGTTGGCGCACGCGATGGCAAACAACTTTGACATCAGCATTGAACAATTCAACCAAGCGTCTGCGCTGTTGGAAGCAAAAATTGTGCATTTGAAGACTTTGCAAGATGATCCACCCCAATCTGATGATCCATTCTACACCGTTGAAGGGGAAATCAAAGAACTGCAGGAACTTCTTCCAGAGATTCAAGAAAAAATCACAGACATCAATGATTTGAAGAAAGAAGCTAATGTACTCAAAGAAATTAAGGAAGAGAGACTGAATGGATGTTCTAGTGATGGTGAAGCGAATGAGGCTTCTGGAAGTGGTAGTAGTAGTAGTAAGTCGAAACCTGCCAGCGATATATCGCATCTGGTAAGGAAAAAGCGCAAAGCGGAGGACGAAGAGGAGACTGCTTCACTTTGCAAGAAACCGATGCAGGAAAAGGACATAGCGTGAAAAGTACGAATATCTGTTTTTTCATGATAACCAGACTGATTTGAACTCTGATAAAACTAAAAATTGTTGATATTTTTCTCAATAATATAAAAAAAGTATTTGCTGCTGTATAAAAATTCAATGTTTTTTTTACAGAAATAACAATTTGCTACTCAGTGAATTTATTTCCAATGTATCAGTAGAAATAATCTTTAGACTGCCAACAAATGATATACATTAGAAATTCGGCACTTAAAATTGTTTTTTGATATCATAAACACAAGAACTGTTTTATAGTTGCATCTTGTCGCGTACTATCAAGAAAGATATTTGATATTTTTCTTGATAATGGATATTTATTGCTGTACAAAGGCAAAGTAACGTTTTCTGATAAAGATGATTTTAGGGTATGTTCCATTTAACATTTGATGACAACAAGGATGATATTGATGCTCGCAAGCATTGCAAACGTTAAGTAGTACGCATCCTTAATAATTAATAGAATTTGTGGAAGAATATAAATCTAATAATAATATTTACCTTATTTTAACTATAGGTTATAATCCATTTGATGCTACATTTGATATTACATTTGATGATTACTTTGAAGCATTTTTTGATTGGTCAGTTAGTAAAATTCTTTCTTTCGATTAATCAATCAAATATGTGCATTTGTAGCACTAAATGGTTCGCACTCTGTAAACATTTGTCATAAATTTATTAAATTAAATTCTGTTATATCGAAATATATTAAATTCTACACAATTCGTCCAAGGTTAGAGTTTGAAGCTCTGAATTAATTTTGGAGAAAAACTTGATATGATTTAAAAATATTTAACATATTAATGATAATTTGTCGCAATCAAAGCTGAGTATTAAGAACGGTGTGCGTGTGAACATATTTTTTTATTTGAAGACATTAGGAAAGCTATTATGGAACTATTCGGAGAAGTTTCCAAAAATAGATTAAAGGCCGGTTGTTCCATCTTTTGGTAAATTTTACTGCTGGGTAAGTAGCAAGATTACCCAATCACATACGCGGATTACCAGATTTACCTTATAGATAAAATTTACCAAAAGGTGGAACAACCGGCCCTAAGAGTAGTTAATCTACTTTGGGCAATATTCAAAATTAAGAAATCTTTCGCAAACGAAAACTTTAAGTGTATCAAATTTCTTTAATCTAATAGTCATTTATCTTTGTTGTTTATTAAATTTTGAAAAAGATCCATGGTAATCTAAAGAGATATATAAACAGAAATTGTCACGTTTTCTCAGCACCCGACATAGTTCCATAATATTTCCAGAGGATATGCTACAATGTATTTATTCTAGTTTAGCTGAATAGCGGTAACACACAGTACTGTTTTGAACTGTAGATATAAGAATTCAAATAGAAGTGATTGTTTGTGTACGAATATCACGTAAATAAATGTTAAAGCAATGTCTTTTTTATTCACGTGCATCTTTTTAATTTACTTTGTCCTGATGATATAATATATATATAATTTTATATATACATATATAAAATAGCGAATATAATAGCGTTGAACGCATTAGTGCAAAATAATGCATATTAAAGCCATTGTACACTGATTTAATTTGTGTAATAATGAAATGCAAGTATTTCAAATTATAAAAGATATAGATTTTATTTAATAGCATAATAAATACATATATTGAGACTTTCATAGTTTAATCCATTTTTATATTTATATTAAATACACATTTTTTAAAATTGTGTACGACAGTTTTAATGTACACTAGTGTGCACTAAGTGCATACAATCGAATTCATTATAAATCTTTGATTAAACAATTCGACAACGATATACGAGATGAGTAGAAGTAATTTAACCAGTATTTTACTTATGAGAAAATTATCGACCTCACATCTAATTAATCGATTTTTTTACCGATATTCGATAACGTTTACCATCTATATGTTTGGCTTACAGTTTCACCTATTTGTCGAAGAAGTGTTGCTGTACAATCACAAACTTCGTTATAAAATAGGTTATTTTGTCATTGGAGATATATATACGATTTTTCTTTCATTATTACAAATAGATATTTGAATAATTGAAGCAAGAAACTGTAAATATAGCACCGTGTTTTCCCAAGTATTATAGGCTTTAATATGACTTTATGAAACTAACAGTAAATTGAGGTATAATTTTGTATTGACTATTATGTGATATCTTTATACAGAATATTCCAAATAAAAATAGAACAGCACGAATGTTCTCGAAAAAAAATAAGTTACAAAAGTATTTATCATTTATCGTTCCGATCAGTAATTTTTAAAATATGTGAAGGTTAAAAACTGGCTAATTACAGATTATGGTTAAACGAGCTGTAATCTATAATTGACCAGTATTTAATCTTCGTCTCGAAAACTGTTAAGAACGGTAAATGGTAAATATATATTTATAATATATTTTTTCTTACTGTGAATTTTCTTACTGTGATATGTTGATTTGTAAATTTTCAGACAATCTCTCTCTCTCTCTCTCTTTCTCTCTCTCTCTCTCTATATATATATATATATATATATATATATATATATATATATATATATATGGATGCATTCCAAGTTATGCATGAAGCATATGCTGTATCATTTTATCTTTCTTTATTATTTGGTGAACAAGGACAAATGATGCATCATGCGCTTCATGCATAACTTGGAATACACTTTATATATATAATTTTTTTTATATATATTTTTTAAAAATATATCTTAACAATTGGACAATTTGATAAGTCAGTGACTTTTTTTACTTTTTTTTAAACAAAAATTTAATTTATTTTTTAATATAATCTTTTTTCAAAATGTTTGTATATATACATATAACATACACATATTCATTTTAGTGTTACATATGCAAATATGGATAACGAGCAATGCCCAAAGAAGTCAAAACTTGAAGAGATTCCTACTGTGAACGAGGGAAAAGCACAGATATTGGTAACGAATGAAAAGGTGTTTTATAATCCAGTTCAAGAATTTAATAGGGATCTCAGCATAGCGGTACTAATGATATTTGCCAAGGACTATAACGAAGAAGTATTGCAGAGAAACAAATTAGAGAAAGACGATAAAATCAATGTACCACATAATGCAGGAAACCAGAGGGGAATTACTATATTGGAAGCTTTATCTGCGACTGGTTTGCGTAGCATACGATATGCTAAGGAAGTGGAGGGTGTCTGGCAAATTGTTGCAAATGACATTTCTGCAAAGGCGGTAGATAGCATCAGGCAGAATATTTTACATAACGGAGTTGAAAATTTGGTAATTCCTTATCATGAGGACGCGACGTTGTTGATGTATCAACGCAGAAGAAATCGCTTCGACGCGGTCGATTTAGATCCCTATGGTTGTCCCTCAATGTACCTGGATAGTGCGGTGCAGTGTGTGTCCGATGGTGGTATACTTCTAGTTACCGCTACTGATGTGGCTATTCTGGCTGGCAATGTTCCGGAAACTTGTTACTATAAATATGGAGCAATATCCATAAAGTCGAAATCTTGCCATGAGATAGCATTGAGAATATTACTGCAATGCATTGCGTCCTATGCAGGACGTTACGGACGGTACATAGTACCATTATTGTCTATAAGTGTTGATTTTTATATAAGAGTATTTGTCAAGGTCTTCACGAGTCATGATAAGTGCAAAGAGAACTCCAACAAGATAGGAATGCTCTATCAATGTAATGGATGCGAGAGTATGAATTTTCAACCATTAGTGGTGAAGAAGGCTGCCAAGAATTATAAATTACCAAGTGCACCCGTAATAGATCAATTGTGTAAACATTGTCAACACAGGCAGCACATGGGCGGTCCAATATGGCTAGGTCCTTTACACGATCACGGATTCGTATCGCGATTATTATGCAACTTGAATAGTATGGAGTTGGGTACATCGAAAAGAATGGAGGGTGTCCTAACCGTGATACATGAAGAACTAGACATTCCTTTATATTATAATCTAGATCGTTTGATGTCTATAGTTAGGTGTCATGTTCCACCAATGTTGATGTTCAGGTCAGCATTATTAAACGCAGGATATAAGGTATCGTACTCGCATGCAAGTAAAATTTCTATCAAAACGGATGCGCCAAATGATGTTATATGGGATATTGTACGTGCCTGGGAGAAAAAACACCCTGTAAAACGGGAGAAATTGGCTGAGGATAGCCCAGCTGCGCGAATACTTAATGCATCGTCCACGATGGATATCTCGCTCACTATGCATCCTCTTGCCAATCCAATTTCTCGGCAAAGGCACTTATCTCGCTTTCAACAGAATCCTACTGCAAATTGGGGACCTGGTGTCCGTTCGAGAACTAGGGTTGATCTTGAAAATAAAGCGAATGATTCGAAAAAAGTAAGAAATCAAAATAAAAACAAAAAAAAATTAGCGATGGAACAGCAGATAGTACAACAATGAGTATCCAGTCATTTATGCTTGATATTTTTAATATCTTGAACAGTTATTCTGGATTAATATACATTATGTTGATTCTACAATAAGTCGGTAATCGATAATCCTAAGTCTTATCAGTTAAGTTGACTAATAGCTAGCTTGTATGACTAATGCTGATTGGCCAACTTCACTGATTAAGACTGAAACTTTCGACTACAGACTCATTGTAGAATCAGCATTAAAGATAGAAAAATCACAACGAACAGCTTTTATAAAATTATTTATACATTGACGCAATCAGGCAAATGACAAATAATTTTTTGATAGAGATATGCGAGTCCTTGTATATTTATATGATACTACATATTGTTATCTAACATTGTAAGAAACTTTTGCATTGTTGCAAATGTATCTTATAATAAAATATTTTTTTACAAAATTTGTCGTTTTTGTATTTTTATCATTACTTTTATCATCATATTTATTGTAAAATTCAACAAGAACACTCGAAAAAGAGAAGTAAAAAGGCATCTTTTATTGGCTCATTCGAAGTCTACTTTTCAAACAAAATATAAATATAGCTCTTGTGAGATTTATTAGACATATACGCGCTTAAAATTTTCAATAATACGTAATGTGTTACTTATTTAATTTATTACGTAATGTTATCTTAACATTTTTCTAGATTGGATTACGTACATTAATACACACACACACACACACACACACACACACACACACACACACATATATCACGCTGGTATAAATACAGTAATATAAACGTCAGTGATAATAGACTGCTATATCCATCTACTGCTATAGGACATTTTATGTTATTACTTGGTAAGATAAACATTTAGTTTGTCGAAATATGGCAGCGCAGACTATAGTTTTAAACAATGGTGTAAAGATTCCCGTACTCGGGCTTGGTACCTGGCAGGCAGACGTAAGTATATATAGCAGTAAAATAAAACATAGCAAATTCTCTCAAAGAAACTTGATTTATATCCGTTTCCATTAATGTAAATTAATTCTTATCTCAGTTTAATCCACTTTTCATTGTTTTGTAATTCAGAAAAAGATATAAAGTTAAACCAAGATTGAAGTTAATCTTATATATTTTTAAGACCCGGTTCTACAAATATAAAATTAATTTTAATCTTGATTCAATTTACTCTTCATTTTTCCTAAATCTAAGAATTAGAAAAATATAAAGAATAAATTGAATATATCAAGATTAAAGTTAATTTTAAGGTCATACACGTACAACAATTTTAATTGTGATTGTAAAGTCTCAAGCAAATCGATCAATCACAATCAAAATTATGATCACGTTTTAAAACGTTTGATTATCATTGACCGATTTGCTTATAGCCTTACGATTAACATTTTTGAAGACGTGTGACGTACATTTATTAAATGATATAAATCTCGGATATAAATCTCATAGAGTAATTTTATATTTCATAATATGTTAAAATGATTGCAATTTCAAAAGAGAGGAATATCACTCTAAATGAATGTGGACATTCATAAGATAGGAGTAAATTTTTTATTCAAATTTTTAGAGCATATGTGCAGCTACATGGCATGTAATATCACACAACAGGCTTAATTTGTGGCCTTTGTCATACTTGCATTTTATTCATTTATTTTAACTGATATTTCATTCTTCGAGTTTTACCAAGTATTGGTGGAAACGAGCGTTTAGATTGATCACATCATTGGGTGTTCAATCAGACGATATCTTTCAATGTCAGTGATAACACAAAGTTCATGATCACTATAAATGGAACTGATATCTAGTACGTAAATAACTTGATTATCTAAACAGCTTGCGATGAACCAATTCTTATAATTGGTAACTAGGATTAAGAAATTATGACGATTTTAATATAGCTTCATCTTTTACGAATTAATATTTTCATTAGTCCACGTTCAGATGCTTTCTTCTCATCTGCCAAGATAAAGAAACTTCTAAATGCGTAGCATTGCCTGAAATTTTATAATTTAATTAATTTAATT